AGGTTATCTTTTAGATTTTTTTCTTCTGGAAATGATCCTGTCAGTAGAGTGTCTTATGACGTGTCGTCCAACAAGCCTGAGTCCTGCAGGTCTACAGTCAGCAGATCTGTTTCAGACATAACTGAGACCAATAGTAAGGTACTGAAACCTGTTTACGTTTAAATTAATGGTACTATGGCAAACATATTATATAAACAGAAATATTCTACATTTCTACCAACATTTCTGGTTCAAACATTTTCAGTATAAATTATTTTTCAGTAGATATAGATAAGCATGTTATTGGTTGAGTTTTGTTGTAACTTACCACTATCTGAATCTGTGATTTCAAATTCAACCTGATGTGTGACAGTGGTGGAATATTTACAGTATTCTCATTGTTGCAGGAGAAGTTGGAAAAGTCAGATGATGACGAGTGCAGCTCCTCCACCAGCTCTACAGAGCGTTCAGAGGGCGACTGCAGGGAGAGGTGTGGTAATATATCATAAGCATTGTACTTCCTCATTACTTACTAACACCCATACGTGACTGTTATGATCTGTGTGTCACCTGCAGAAAAAGTGAATCCAGTGAGATACAGGACTTAGTTCACATGATGACCCAGACTTTGAGAATGGATGTTGTGGATGGCGTGAATGAGTTGGACAAAAGCAGATTCGGCTCGAGCGCACTGCCAGAGTTTAAACTGAACAGGAAGTACAGGGACACACTGATGATTCACGGAAAAGCCCGAGAAGAAGCCGAGAACTTCTCACTTGGTGAAATACCATTGGGTGAGACACTTTGATTGCACTCTTTGTTCGTTATTGATCGCTATCCTGAAGATCACTGTTGTTTACCTTGTCTGTGTCTTTTGAAAGGCTCCTGCTCTGGTCCAGCAAAAATAAGGAGAGCAATAGAACAGCTGAGGACAGATGTGGTGAAGGGGCTAGGCGTCAAGCTGCTGGACAAAGTGCTAGAAATCATGGAGGAGGAAGATGATACCAAAAAAGAGGTACAGTAATTTAAAAAGTAGCACGTTTGATTTTCTTTTGTTAGATGTCTTCATTACATAGATTTTTGATTTGTGGCGTGCAGTGCCGTTGCTCAAAAAAGGTTGGGAAATACTGAGTTACCTGATACTCATGTATCTTTTTTTGTTTCTGCAGCTGTGCCTCCGTGACCATATGGGGGATGAAAAGTACCATGGTTATGCTGTGATGGTGAGGCAGCTAAAGTTTTTCGAGGATATGGCCTACAAGGTTTAGGGCAAAAAGACAAAATGGCGTTTATGTGATGTGAGTAGGGACTACTGTGAGGATTCAATTGTAAAATAATCTGTAGGATAGCTAGACTAGAACGATGAGAATATTTATGTGTAAAATTGTGGCCAGTTTAGACACATTGCCTTCATGACCTATGCAAAATGTTGACATTTCTTGGAAACTGTATTTGTTGGATATTCAATGATTATACAGTGGAGAAGTCAATATTGATATCATCGTTTTATCATAGCATTCTCACTCCTGTGCATTGTATTTAGTTTAACATAAAACCTATGTAATGTATTAACATTTTTTATAACACATTTTCATGTTTTCTGTTCATTTATATTCTGCTGACACCTTTTTTTTTTTTTTTTTTTACAAAATAAACTGGTTTTTAAGAAACATGGAATAAAATGGTGAATATGTATGTTTACATACACTACCACACAAACATCATAGACCAGGAGTAACATTTAAATGTAATATACTGTAATTTTAAGGGTTCTCACAAGAGTATCACATTTATTACTTTACTTTGACTTTCATTTGTAAAAGCTGTCTGTTTTTATTTTTAAAACTTTTTCCACAGTACCGTTATACCTCATTAAAATAAATTGAGACTTTTTTCATCTTTGCATTAATAAAGATGAAAGAGACCATTAACAAAACAAAGATCAGATACGTTTATTTAGACACCAAGCATTTAATTTCTGGCTAGGTCTGGAAAAGTACAGCACCAAAGTGTCAGAATTATACCAATAATTAGGACCTAAAATTGTGTTTGTTTCAAATGCTTGTTTCAACTCAAAATATCTTTGTTTAATATCGTTAAGCCCTGGTTGACTGAAAAACACTGTACCAAAGTCTATGAACTAAATGCTAGGTATATTTTGCAGTATTATAAAAAAAAATGTATTGGCAGGCAGACTTTTAGAGGTTTCAAGTTACTTGTGTTTCTTCTTTTTGATGCTTTCCTGTGGTTTTTGACAGGACTCTCCACTGCTCTCTGGTATAGCAGGCTGCCAAGACAGAGGGTTACGTCTGTACATGGGCCATGGGGGAAGAGTCAACTATAATTAGGGAATAAAATGAAAGATTGTCAGCTCTGGTTTCACTTTACACACAGTGTGTTTTGAAATAAATCACATTGAAAATTCTGACAGCATCTATGTAACACAAAAACAAACACACTACTTAAATTATAACTTCACTAGAATGAACATGAGGCAAAAGAATACCTACCACACAGGACACTGCAAAGCCAGCTAAAACGATGTAGACTGTCCATCCAAACTGCTCAACGATCAGACCACAAACAAAGCCAATAACCTGGAAATTAAGTGTAAAATATGTTGGTGCTTTCAAGTAAGTGACAATCAATAGTATACATGTGTGCAGGACTGCATGTGTCTGTTAGCTTACCGCAGAGATGAGAATGATTCCTTGAAAAATCTGTTCAGCCAGCTTCTGGCCTTTATAATCCTGCAACAAAATATGGATAAAATAAATTAACCCTCTGATGCATGGCCTTCTTTTGTTTAAGATAAATGTTTTTTTTATTTTAAGGGCATGAAAAAACATTGTGACTGTAAAAATGAATAAACGTGTCTTATTCTAAATATACAAGCACTTGTTTCTTGTAACCTCTGGGGCCCTTCTAGAATAGTAGTTTTGACAGGATATGTCAACAGTGGTCGATTGGGGTGGCTGTTTAGCGGCCATCTTGGATTCAGAGGAAATTTACTTGCAGTTACGCCGATTGACCACTGAATAGACTTTAATAGAGTAAGGCAGCAGAGAGCACTCTAGATATGCAGTTCAACCATAGACACCATTTCAATTTAAGAGAAAATAACTTGACAGTGCACCAGAGGATTAAGTACAACATCTGATGCCAAGCACACATTATTAGTATTCCTGAATAGATTCCCTTTAACGTGGTAGGTCAAGATTTTGATTCGTTTGTAACATGGAGCAAGATAAAGGAAACCAAAATTACCAATTTTCTAACCCCACAACTCCCACTATTCAAAATAAGGTTTGGAACTGATGATTTGGCACCATATATAATATACATTTATCACCTATAGCCACACTTTTTTAATTTAAAAAAAATGGTCAAAGTATTAACTGTTTCACGTGGTAGATTATTTATTCTATAATACAATTGTTTTAGGCTAAGATCTTATGTACCAAGTGGCCAAGTAAGATTGGGGTCACAAAACAGCTTGGAGTCTGTTCTGGTTAGTGGTTATTACATTTACATGTAGAATTTTAACAACATTAGTTTCTGCACCAAAGAGGATGTAGAGTATAACTCCCATCCACTCTGCGCATTCAAAGCGCTTAACATAACTGTATTGTTTTACAACTGTTTGCTACTACCCTTTGGAATAGAATATAACTGTACTCTAGCAGCTGTTGTGGCCACAGCATCAGTTACAGCATCCTCTGTTAGCCCAAATGGGAGCGGAACGCGATTTAAAACGCTAGTTAAAAAGAAATCACACAACCTTGTGTAAATACTGACTAAAATCTTACCATGTGCGTTGGAATGGTCTTAAATATGGGCAGCATCTTTACAAATATAAACGAGGAAAGGATATAGACGGGCGAAAAATGCAGCAGATTGAATTCCGGTTTTAAAGCTACGTATTTTTTCTTAAAGACCCATCCGGTTCATGCGACGTGAAAACATCATAGATCTATAAACTATAGGGATCTGCCACATTCAAATCAACTACGCCTTTTGCCGAGGACTTAGCTTTGTGATGTCAGCGAAAGGCCATGTTCGCCTGTGTGACTTCCTGTCTTTACTTCGAGCATTTTCTTCTACATTTGTTTAAATAATGCATTTTCAAACATAACTATTTAATGTCGCTCTCCCTAACATAGTATTTTCTTATTCAATTTAAAATTTAAATATAGACGTTAATGGCATTTTTAAATCAGGCATCCGCCTGAGCAGCTATCACTATGTGTAACTGTGAGGACAAACTTGTAGATGTTGAGGTGGCAGTTTGGCTAGAACCGCTATTGCATTTTATTGTGTGGTTTCTGATTGTTTTAACCTAAAATTATTTTTTTCTACTATAATTGTGGTAAATATTTTTATGTCATTGCACGGAGACACGTTACCCGTGAGAACGGTTTCCACACATCTGCAGCATAAACTGTGTTTTCGCTGTCATCATTAGTCAGCCAGCTCATCAAACATCTATTTATTATTACCTGTTTACATTTAATCGAGACGTGCTGGAGACCCAGAAGTAACTGTTACGATGTCTATGAGAAGAGGTAAGTCGAAGAAGTCTTTGTTTCTTAGTTTGGTGATAAGAGGTTGGGAGTTTAAAATTACAGAAACTAAGAAGTGTTCTGCACGTGGATTTATCTGTTATTTTTGTTGCTTTGCGTGCATAAACAACAACGCGACTGACAAAATCAATCAATCGGGATTTTAGTTAAGTTTGCAGATTTAATATTAACGCTGTTTCTACTGGTTATGAGGTGTCACACTTTTCCAATATGATACAGGTGTGAACTGGAGGCAGCACAATCAAGCAAACAAGCTTATGACTAGGGAGGCACACGTTAGTTATTTGTGCACAAAGCCTGGCATTGTCCTGCAAATGTTCTATACAGTTAACAGTAAAGATGCTGTAGATGTGAGACCCTGCCCCTGAATAAGACCACACCAGTGTACTGTGTGTGTAGATTTCCCACACTGTCAACAATGCTGGTTTCTGCAATATTTCACAAGTCTTTTTTTGTCTTTGTTACATGAAATCCGATTATCTGTCTTTCTCATAAACAAGGTTAAATTTGGAATAATTATTTGGTTAAATAAAAGGTTTTTCTTGCTCATTTGTACCTGTGTCTTTCAGTGAATGTGATCATCCTTGTGCTGCTGGCTATAGCCTTCCTCATCATAATTCAAAGAAATCTTCTTAACCTCAGTGACTTTTTGCATAAGGAAAACCCAGGTATGTTCAGCTCTGTCATTTGTCAACATGTGTATAGATTACAAGAAAGGTCCAGATTTTATGTGAAATATGAAAATCTCTGCATTTTTGTAGATGCTGGAATGATTCTTCCCTTTGAGTCCGAGCTGTCTCCTACCCTCAAGAAGGAGCCGGTGAGGAAAGGAGATGAAATCCCCGTCCTCATCACCGCTGCTGAGGAGAGACTCGGTGCTACAGTCGCTGCCATGAACAGCATCTACTTTAACAGCAAAGCCAACGTCGTCTTCACTATTGTGACTCTGAATGACACAGTGGAACACCTTAAGTATGCTTTTTTTCCCCCCAGAAGGACAATTTTGTGAATTATTTGTGAATTATATGGATTATATAACTGTGAATTATTTGTGAATTATATGGATTTTTTATCACATAACACACACACAAAAAAAGATTCATTTCCAGAATTAGTGTTTTCACTTCTGCTTTTCCCTTGCCCTTTGCAAGTGAGTTCAATGTACTACTAGTGGATAAAAATTAGCCCTAGAAAAAGTAAAAATTCCACATCAACTCAACTAAAAAGGCCGAAAGGACAGATTTTGATGACCTTTCTCTGACCTCAATGTTTCCTCTGTCCAACAGAGTGTGGCTGAGTAAGACGAAGCTGAAAAACATTAAATACAAAATATTGACTTTCAATCCAGAGATTCTCAAAGAGAAGATACCCAAAGATCCCAAGACAGCAGAAGCCGCAAAACCGGTGAGCAAACCTAATGTACTTCAATTGAGCTTTAAAATAATTAACTCAATTCAATTGGATTATTTTTATTATTAACAATTATTTTGGATGTCTCCACATTGTGATTTGCAGTTGGATTTTGTCAGATTTTATTTACCGACATTTTTACCTGATGCAGAGAAAGGTATCTATGTAGATGATGACATCATTGTACAAGGTAAGATTGAGTCAAATTAGTATATATGCAGTATATATATATACATATATATTTGTTTATCTTTGTTTCCTATTCTTCCTGAGCTTCCTGCTTCCCCCGGTTGAACTCTTAACTCATACTTCAGGTTTTTTTTTTATGTGAATTTTTGACCTGTCCTTTTGTGACTCAGGGGACATTCGGGAGCTCTATGACACAAACGTCAAACCAGGACATGTGGCAGCCTTCTCAGATGACTGTGACTTAGCTTCTGCTAAGGCGATTGTTCGTGGGGCAGGGAATCAGGTTAGACTTTCACAAAAGCAAGCCAGTGAAGAAAAAAACATCAGAAAGCGTTTACATTGAGACAAAACTCTAACACAAGGAAACTTCTCCAACAGAACAACTATTTAGGTTTCCTAGACTTTAAGAAGGCATCAATCAAAAAGCTGGGCATGAGAGCCAACACATGTTCATTTAACCCGGGGGTCATCGTCGCTAACCTGACTGAGTGGAAGAACCAGAACATCTCTCAGCAGCTGGATCACTGGATGGAGCTGAACACAAAGTATGGGCCACATTCTTAGGAATTAAATTAATCCATAAGAATTCCAATTACAGACAAATCTGGGCCACAGTGAGTCAGTGAGTCTGAGGCACAGCTAGAAGGTCACTTTTGTGTAGTTCTTTGTTTTGTCTATTATGGTAGAAGGTAGTTTGTAATTCAAAACACCCAAAGACCATAGGTCATGCACATTGAGCAACTGTTTCTACCACATAATTATTTCTCAATCAGTTCAGCACAGTGTTGCACTAATGACAAAATAATAACTGAGTTTTTGTATTAACTGTGGGAAAGAAAATTCAGTTTCTAAATAGTGATATAATAAATATCAATTTAATTTGAGCTAAATGTAAACAAGTTTGTGCCTTTTTTACTTTGCACCATTTTAAAATCTAATGGTCTGAATGTCTTTGTCTCCCAGGGAGGATCTGTACAGTAAGACCATGGCAGAGAGCATCACCACACCTCCTTTGCTAATCGTTTTCTATAGACGTCACTCCACCATCGACCCCTTGTGGCATGTCAGACACCTTGGTAAGTTCTCTGTACTTACTAAAAAGAAACGTCATGATTGTCTTACCCACTGGTTGGACAGTTAATCTCACATGAACAAACAAATTAACTTTTAATTCCAGGTAACACAGGAGCTGGAAACCGTTACTCCTTACAGTTTGTGAAAGCAGCTAAACTCCTGCACTGGAATGGACACTACAAACCCTGGGGCAGGACGTCCGCTTTTACTGAAGTGTGGGACAAGTGGTTCATTCCTGACCCCACAGGAAAGTTTCACCCCGTGCGACGACACGCAGGAGACAAGTAGACTAAAAAGCCCTGGGTTTAAAGGAGTGGTTGACCCAACAGGCCGAGCCAGCCCATGTCCCAGCAGAACCACATACAATGACGTCTCAGGAAGTGTTTAAGGCCTTGACGCTATTTCAAATATTCCGTCCACTGAACATCACGACCTGCGTAGACTTTCTCAGAAGAGCAGTGATTGGCCTATCTCAATTTCAGGTGCAGCACAATGTTTCCTTTAGCATTAACTTTTAACATGTTGTATTCAACTGTAGCAGAGGCACAGACAGTATTTCCATCCCTACGTAAGCAGCATTTTATTTTGAATGTGATCAAATAAGCGGTTGATTTTAAAATTTTATTTTTTAAAACAGAGTTTTTGGAACTTGCTCAGTGACTGCAAGTGGGAATTACATTGTTTTGACATTCTTTTGCTAAGACATTAAATGATCGGCAGATGATTACGGCCAATTTAGTCAGGCTTAAGACATTTCATGATGGTTTATTTTTGTTTTGTGCTCATAAAAGCCAGTTTTCACTCTAATGACCACTATTTACAGTGCTATTTACAGTTCAGCTTTTACCAGCGACCCCTTGATGGCATGACCACATGGGGGCGGCATTTAGATTTAGAATTTTGGAATTTATATACTTTTATATCAGGTCATTTCTCTGTCCTACAGACTCAGGTACATGAGAGCCTTTAGTTTTTAAAGTAATTACATATGTCATCACTTAATTTTGCATTTCATCACAGTGTCATAATCTAGACTTTGGGCTATTTGTTTTGATTTGTAGAATGATGGTTCTAGAAAATATTACTGCAGCCATGCACCAGCTGACAATCACCTATGGTCCTCGCATTGGTGCAAACCATCTACTGTTGTGCTTTACTTTGCATTTTCCTCTAAACAGGATGACCATTAACAAGTTGGAGACTAATGTTGTGTTTTAGGAGGCTGGTGAAACTGGCAAGTGAAAACATTAAGACTTTCATTCAAATCAAATAACCACCAAGACCAGTGAAGCTTCGTCCAGTTATTTTTCTACTTTTTACATTTAAAAAGAAATCTGTGACCAGAAATACAGTAATGTACCATGGTTTAAAACTCTTGCTACAGTCTTTGTTACTTCTCAGCTAATGCTGCTGCTTCATATAACTCATATTCACCACTATTGAACCAAAATGGATTTTATTTTGTAACGCACATTAAACAATGCCTGTGTTTTTAACAGTCTGATCTAGGTCACAACCAGTTATGAAACGTTCCTCAGTTTGTTACTTTTGTTTTCAAAGACTGCCATACATGGATACTGTTGTTTTTTTTTTAACCTTTATAAATGTGGTTGTTTTTGGACCGTGTGCTGAACACTCCGTCTGCTGCATGGCAGAACCTCAATGTTACCACATTCCCTTTGCTTCATCTTTGTCCCATCAGGATATTTTATACCTTATATACATTCACCTTGCGAGTGTAAATACTTTTGTATAGAGTGAAATAAATCTTACATTTTTATGTAGCATTTGTTTTGTTTAATTTGTATTTGCATTTAATAGTCAGTATATCTTTTATTAATACCTGAGTACAGGTATTAATAAAAGATATACTCATTTGGTGTTTGTCAACTACTTTCATTGCAAGCCTTTAGTGAAGACTTTTAAATTCCAGTTTGAACACAAACCAATGCAACAACTCTCGTATTAGTTAGCGCGGTATTCAACCCCGTAGTAGTTAAAGTGCAACACGTTTGTTTACTTGGACTTTTAATTCCAGATTTGCAGCGAATCAGGAAACCTGTTTTGTTCACATTCAGCGTGTGTACATTTTTGCTCTGCAGCAAATACATTATGCATTAAGTTCCAGTGTGAAAACAGCAAATGACTGAATGCTGTATTGGCTGCAGCCTTAACTCTGAACAGTATTTTAGTGACGAGGATGAACGAATGTGACGGAAGAAATTTTAAAATCAGCTCTGGAAAGAAGAGTGTTTTATTACATTTTTTACAGAACCACATACTGATCATCATCAGTACATCAGCTATTTACATGAATCTGTATGCAACAAGAACTTGTGAATGGACAGGTCAGAGATTAAATAAAAGGTCATGGTTTAACCTTTAACAGGGAATACAGGTCGGAGGGGAACACCAGAAACCTCCCCTCAAGTTTCCAGGTTTCATCAGGGAGCCACACGTCCAAGACAAACTCTAGTCCTGCATTATTGTCTAGGTTTGGAGGCCACAGGAGAGGAAAGGTCCATTAAAAATATTTATTAAAATCATAGCCACCCTCTGCTGTAGACTCGGAGAGAGCAATATCTGTAGTAAATTGCACCGTGGTGGGCTTTTCTGCAAAGACAACAATGTAGAAACAACAATAATTAGGGTCAGAACTCTCATAAAAAAAAAAAAAAAAAATTTCCCCCCAAAAAGGTACTTTTCTGTGAAGTCTGTTCTGGTTTCTCCTCTCCTTTTGCTGCATCTGGGTCCTCAGGAATTTGTTGAGGCTGCAGTAAAAGATGTTGCAATGTTAGACATTTCAACTGTGTGACTTCGGCAGAACAACAGTGTCCAGCCAACAAGATCAGAGTTGGATTAGAAGTCTTCAGAAACAAATCAAGACTTGTGTGTTTTCCTCATTTCTAAGTTGGACTCGACTTTCTTTACGGGTAGAAACACCTCCTCGTCTCACCTCGCTCTGCACCGTCTCCCCCTCTGTGAGCCCTGCTCCAGGTTTTACTTCTGTGATTTCACCGACACTCAGCAGGCCGTCTGTTGGCCCTTTGGAGATGAAGCTGATGCTGCTGGCTGGGTTTGAGAATTTAAGACCTTAAAGAGCAAACACAGTTTGTTCACTTGCTCCAAGTATAATACGGGCTTACATAAATGGAATAAGACTTGGAAGAACAAAACATAAAAGCGGACCAAATACTGACCTTTTAGAACCGTCTCATTTCCCGTGTTCAGTTTGTCTAGATCCCAGTCGTTCTTCAAGTCTTCCACCACAGAGTCAGACAGATACGGAGGAAGAACTCTCTCTGACACCTTACAGTGATAACTCAGCTTGGCTCTGAGGAGACGTCACAGAACAGATAATCAGGAAAGGTCCGACCACATGTCAGCATCTTTTCACCGTGACAAAACCAGTGTTTGGATCAGAGTTGGATTAGAAGTCTTCATTATGAACATCCAGAAATATGATTTGTCCTCACTTCCACACTGATGTGAATCAGCTTTTGGGTAAAAAGTCAATTTAAAAAAACTCACCCTGTCCAATCGCCCAGGAAAGTCGTTGCTGCCTGATGTGTGTTGGGAACTCCACCCTTCTGAAGAAATCCACGCTTTTTGGCAAACAAGGTCAGAAACTCCAGTGAGTTCCTAAAGTCTGGAATCATGTACTGAAGCATGATCTGCAACAAAGAGCAGCGATTCAACACACACACTTAACCTGGTTCTTTATACATGACCTCCTGAACGCTTCCTACCTGTGTCTTGTCACACTGTTTGAGCAGCGTCCTCACCGCCTCCAACACATTCTCCTCACCCTGCTCCACCAGCAGACTCCTCAGAGCCAGAACAACTGGAGGGCTGGACGGCAGTGCCAGAATTCCAGGACTGTCTATGAGCTTGACTGTTTTTGAGATGTTAACTTCCTGCATCATTCTGCAGAGTTGGAGTTAGGAGAGGGTATTAAGGCATATCAACCACAGAAGCGGTGGTAAAGGACCAAACTATGTTTGTTGCGATCAGAACAAATTGTTTCCAAAGACTGCTACACACTTTGTGATGCCCCTCTGGGCTCCAGCGTTGCAGGCCTGGCCCCCCTTCAAACTGTTGATCAAACTGCTCTTCCCTACATTAGGGAAGCCTAAGGGAACAAAAATAAAAAATTGGTTTTAGAAACCAGTCTCTGTATCAGGAGTGTACCATATGCAGTATTTTCATGGACCATAGGATCATATTTTTATACTATATTCTCTCAACATGTTATTTTATGAAAGAGCCAAAAATATTACTGTATCAACAGGAAACAGACTTACAGATGTATGAAAGTACTTTTCTCTCTTTTATCTCTAACAAAAACTCCAACCACTGAGCTCATTAGTAGTTTGTGTTCTCACCAACTATGCCCACTTTGAGAGACTCTGTCTCCTTTTTTGCTGCGTATTCTGTGAGGAGCTCAGTGAGGAAGTCGTTTCCAAAACAGACTTGTACTCTGGTTCTGTTTGCCACGACCCCACGATTCTTTGGTTTCTGAACAAATAGGAAAACAAGCAAAGTAGACTTTTTAAATTTTATTTTAAATCATTAACCACGTGAACAAGGAGTATCTGAAGTCTGGCTTAATATACCCAATACACAGATTGACATCTAAAAACTGTTCACAAACAGCTCACGGCAGCTGTGTTCAGAACACAGCAGAAAATCAAGTGGCTTGTTTGAGATTTTTTTTTCTTTAGGAGGTTATAACCAGTTGTAGCAGCACAACAGAAGCTGCTCAACCTTCTCAGACCTCCAGTCGATCACAAAAAGATACAGCAATAAAATATGTATTTCTCAAAAAAACATGGAGCAGATCCATCATTTGCTGAATGCAGCTCTTACCACTGTTGGCTGATTCAGTGTTGATCCTTTAAAAGCCACCACTGGAAACTCCTTTTGTAAACATTTTATCCACTGCTCTACATTATCCTTCGGTACCAGGTCTACAAACAAAAACAAAATCAATCACTTAAGATACATGAAAACTAGAAACGTGCAAACTAACATCAGTCACGTGGAACTTACCTATTTTGTTTAAAACTAGAAGCAGTTTCTTGTTCCTCTGCAGCACCGCCTCCTCCAGCTGTGGACACCTGCAGCCCAGAGGGTCGCGAGCATCGAGGACTTCAAAAACTACATCAGAAGCATCAATGACCTGGGACCAAGATGAAAATCATTATTACCACAAATGCATAGGCAGATTCACAAACAAACAAATAGAGCCCTTTTTTCTACCTTGTTTATTTCTCCACAAATGAACTCTTTTGAATTCTTGTCCTTTTGTCTCTCTGATTTCTTTCCATTTTCATCCTTTATTAAAACAAAAACGTTAAGTTAATTGACATGAGTGGTTAAAATATGAGCCAGTGGTTGGATGCTGATGTTCCTTTTACCGTTCGTGTTCTTTTGGCCTTGGGTTCAGTCTCATTTTTTATAGGTTCTTTTTCTTTTTGCCTCTTCTTGGCTCTTTCTTCTTTTACAGCTTGTCTCTTTTTCTCTTTTTCTTCTTCAATCTACAAAAAGAGAATTAATGATCCATTAGAACTCCTCAGCTCTTACTTTACCTTGATCAATGTATTTGTATAGAGTCTCTTATGAATTGGGATGACAGTGAGGGCACACCAGATGTAAGACAACAGAACAGTTTGTCACAGACAAAACACTAACCACCTGGTAATACATGAGGCATAAACTGACTTGACTTCAATATAAACTTCAACATAAAGGTGCTACAGCTGTATTATCTTTAGAGTCAAAAACATATTTTATAAGTAAAAAAATATCCTTTCCCATGCATGATGATGGGAATGGGCAAATTTGGTTGGCCTCATGAGGATTGGAACTGACCACATATTGGCCAGTATTCCCAAATAAGTAAACCATTTTGTCAAATTTACTTAAGTTAGTATGGGTGACCATAAAAAATATAAAATATTGAAATATTGTTCTAAATCAGAAAATGACTGTAAACGGCCCACCTGCAGCCTCCTCTGCTCGGCCTCTCTGAGAACCTCCTCTTTGAAAGGAGCACTGCTGGGAACTCCTGGGTCCTTCTTCGGTCGTTTGCTCACTCCCTTCTTCTTTGCTTCTTTCCTTAATTTTCTGTTGTGTTCCCGAACCTACGTGTAAAATAAATCAATCAATATAACGGACATATTTAACTGTTTAGAATAATAAAAAATATGAAAAAGTTAGTAAAAAAACGTAGGGCCGCAGCAGGGGAAACACACACGAGGACATTGATTAAACACTTACCTTTTTCTGTATTTTATACCGTTTGGAGCATGACACGCGCTTACTCGCTTTTCTTAACTCTTGAAGCACAAAGAGGAAAAGGGTTAATCGCACTTTAGCAACAAGCTAAAGGTAAAACTAAAACTCTACTTGTCGCAGCTAGCGTGTTGTTCTGTTTAAATAATCTTTATAGTATTTAAGTCTGGATATTTTGATTATCATTTCAATCATTAATACAATATCAACTACATTGTGCACTTACTCGGTCGTTTCATTGCGCCGCAGTTGATCAGCAAACGTGACTGGAACACTTACATGTGGGTACAGTGCTCGTGTCAGTGAAGTTTCGTCACTTCCGCTTCAGTATACGCAGACGCCATGGCCGTGCACCATCTACCGTTCCGGAGGGGATATTGTTTTTGTAGTTTGAATTTATTGTTAATTCTCTAAGTGTTATTGAATTATAAAAATAAAATATAGTGTTCTTTAATATAGAGTATGCATTAACATATGGCATTCGATTATGAAAAAAATAAAACTGAATGAAAATATAACATTTCCTCTGCAGAATTTAACAAATAAATATAAAATGCAACTAAAATTACCACCCTCGGTAATCTCACATTTTATTGATAAAGATTATCAATATAATGTAATATGAAAGGTATACAGTAAATTGATTTGAAAATGACTGCGCCTCACGGTTTAATTAAACCTAACTTTAAGCACAACCATGTAGATGCCGTGTATTAAGAAATAAAAAGTTGGAAGAGTAAGGATAAGTGTAAAGGGAGGGGTGGTAGCCGTGAAGTAGTAGAACTAGAAGAAGAAAAGTGCGGGTCACGTGATCGTCTCCAGCATCTTTTTTGGTTCATCTTGGATAACTGGAGTACGGTAGCGGTGCAGCCCAAGAAAATGACTAAATTGCAGTTTCTAAACGTGTTCTTGACAGAGCGCCTCATGCTCGCAGCCCAAGAGATTTATAAGTCTGTGGAAGATACGATCCTGGAGTACCAGGAGGAAATCGCCATCCGGGAGCGGGAGAATGATCATCTGAGGCGCAGGCTGCGGGACGCTGGGATTGAAATATGGCCAGGTTAGCTCCACTGAATGCTAACTGTGCATTTTATGTCAAAAGTCCTGCCAAGCTGAGTTGTTGGTCCTTGTAAATGCACGGAAATCAAAGCCTTAAAAAAGCAACAGAATAGCGCCAGAGTGGTGCATACATGTCTCCTAATAAGTTCAGTTAAGCTGCGCTATAAAATATTTTAGCAGCAGCTAGCGCTCTAGCAACCTTTGTTCGTTAGCATAGTTAGCTCACAACTCAGTTAGCGTCAGCCCAAATTTCCACCTGCCTTAACTAATGAATTGCTTCTTATTCACTATGAGTTTGACAACAGCGAGGCAACAAGTTAGAAAACACATTCTGTATTGTAGTTTTCCACTGCATTCGCTATTTTATCTCAAACAGCGAGGTACACAGAGTATCAACAATTGTCAACAATATGAAACAATGTAAAACCAGTTTCTCAAGTACTTGTACAAGTTAAGAGAATATAAATGTTTGCAATTTCTTTTTGTTAATTGAGGGAGAGTTTTTGTCAAGCTCTCAAGTAAAGAACTGCATGAGGATGTCAGTAGAGGCAGATGAGTATGAGTTGATGCTGCAGGAGATGTACGAGGGAGAAGCACAGTTATTAAGTGTGACGCGGGAAGGACAGATGGTTTCATATTAGATCACATCCTTTTATGCTAATTTACCTTTTCTAAACAACGTAAACAAAGCCAATCTCATTTTGGCTTATCTTGTATTCCATGTGATTTGTTTGTCTGATTTATCCCTCACCCACTAGCCATGTCGTAGTACTTGTATAACATGTGTATGCATGCATTTACTTAATTTCTTTGGTTTGAAGCAAAAGTATTAATATTAGAGAATATTATTATGTGTGTATTGTGTGTTTTGAACACAGCCAGCTCCAGGTTGTCGTTTCACAATGCAATTGTGGGAAAATCCGTACATACATAAATGTAATTAAATGCACCAGATTATTCACTTGTACAGTAATAGACAATGATACTCCATGTTTGTGGTGCTATATCCCATTGTTAAGATAGAATTTCTACCTCTAAGTCATTCTGTGTTTTATTTAGATCGTCCATCTATGGCGCTGTTGGAGGATGAAGATGCTGAGCATCCAAGGCGTGAGTGGAGTCCTAGCATGGGGCATGAGGAGCGTATCCCAATTCAAATCAAGGACAAAAGAGATCTGCGGGCCAATCAAGGAGATGATCAGCTCAGGGGACATGGCTCCTGCAGCACATCAGAGAACATGTTCACTCCACCACGGGTTGGAAATGAATATCCTCAGGATGCACCTCATACGTCCAGCCTCCCTCAGAGTCAGGGTGTAGAGAACAGAGACAGAGATCTTGCCTCCCGAGGCCCATCAAGGCATGTAAAGGCAGAAAGTGGAGGCAGCCACAGAGGCTCTGCATCTACCAACAGCACTGCACAGCCCTTGGCACCAGTCAACCCAAACTGCTCCAATGAAAACAACATTGACATTATTGGGGTAGAGAATAGTGGACAGATGGTTGGCACGAAGGGAAATGGAGCTAACAGAGCACAGGCGTCTCAAATGCGCAACCAAGCAGCCAATGCTGTGGATTGTCCCCATCAGAAATCACCATTAGAGGGACACATGTCATCCTTTAGTTGCAAGGTTTGCGGTGAGGCGTTTAGTCACATCGGCCACTTGCACGTACACGTTCAAGTGCACACTCGGGAAAAGCCTTACCGCTGTGGTGTATGCGGTAAGTGTTGCAGCTCCTCCGGCAGGCTACAGGAGCACCAACGCAGCCACACAGGAGAAAAACCCTTCAGATGCCAGATTTGTGGAAAGGGATTCACACAGATGGCTCACCTGAAAGTCCACATGAGGATCCACACAGGCGAGAAGCCATACAGCTGCCCTGTGTGCGGCAAGTGCTTTAGCCGCTCTGACAAAATTAAAAGGCATCTCCAGACCCACAGCCGTGAGGGAACCTATTTCTCAGGTCAATGATTCAAGTGTGTTGTTTAACAACCAGTTAGTGAATCATATTGAAGTGGAAACATTTTATACAAAAAGCTAAAATCGCTGCCATCGAGGCTTTTTTTTTTCTTCCTAGTTTTTCAGAACGAGATATTTAACAACTCTTGGAGAAAGGTCTTTTTTTTTTTAACATCTACTGTAACACTTCTCCAGTCCACACAAAAATGTTCCTCAATAGGATTTGTATTAGCCAATTTAGTATTTAATTTTCTACCTATCACTTGAGTATTAAATCTCCAGAACACAATTTAAGTTATTAGCTAGTGTTTTGAAATAATCTAGCCCTTCTTTAGTATTACAGTTAGCATGACAAAGTCTTCCACAAATGCCTTGAAACTGAAATACAGCAACATCCAGCACTGTCACTGGTCTTCTGCCTTCACGTCACATCAAGTAAACATGTTCCTTTTTATGTTTTGAACCAAAAAATAAATGGTACATTTCTTTCATCATTAATTTTCTCGTACTTAATAAAACGTTTCGAGAAATTGTCTCTGTCAGATCCATATCCAGGCCACAACCACATTATTATTGGTTTGTATTTATAGTATTATCCATCTTTGGCTGTTTCTTCATTAATGGAGGGACAGACCTGTGTGCCAAAGTATAAAGAATGTCTGCTATTATGTGCCTTATGTGCACTCAGAGGCACTGACGTTTAACCACAGAGGCATTGATTTTCACCTGCAAAAGTTCATGTGCATATCTAAGCTATAGGAGCTTGGCAATGTCACCTCATGGTGCCACACCGCCAGGCTTCTGTTAAACGACTACACACAGTTATATTTATATATGAAAATCATTGCATAGCTTAATTTTACAGGAAGCACTTCCTGTATTTTCCTAGCCTCCAGAACCAGACTTGTAAAAGTTTTGCATCACAAACCTGATTGGCTCCGTGTCCAATTCTTATATACAGTCTATGGACGGTCTGGTTAGTTTACTTATTTCAAAGCTTGTTGGATACTGTATTTTAAAATCAGAATACTATTTCTATTTTTTCTTGCTTTGGCACACAACAGCTTCCTGTTTTCATAAGAACAGCTCTACAGTTATTTTATGTCTGTTATGAAACCATGGCAGTAATGTGGTTGTGGCCTTAGTCTTACACTGCCAAAACCTTATTGTTTATATGCTGCAGTTTTCACAAACACACCATTCAAAATGACTGGTTTACAAACAGGTGACTTACATCTGAGTTTCTTTAAACTCTGTGCTGTGAGATCGTTGTACTGACAGCACTGACGTCCCTCAGCGTCAGTGCCTGTCCATTAAAACATTGACACAACACTTCTGATCCTCCTCTACTCTTGTGAAATAATGTGATGGTTTGTAGAGAATAAAATTACCACTAGTCTGAGTCAAATGTACTTGTAGGAATATCACAGTGATTCTTTTGACTGACATGCACTGTCAAATACGTTGCAGGAACCCACTCCAGTCAACCGTACAGTATTACTCCACAGTAGTCGTTTAGTACATGTGAGGCATTTTTGGAAATGCCTCGTGTGCTTTGTCTGTTGTGGAACTTCTTTCCATCTGTTGCAAATGCACAAACAGTGAAGACCCTGCACTGACCCCTGTAAGGACTAATGTTGCATTCATTACACATCCACTAACCTGAGATTCAATTTCAGCTGTTAAACAACAACATACTAGTCAGAAAAACTCAGGGTTTGTGAGTTTGTTTGTCCTTTCCATCAGATTTTCACCAAAAAATAATAAAGCTGTAGTTAAAGCCCCTGACCCAGTCAGAGCTCAGTTTTTTGGGGATTCTTCTACATGTGATGAATGCAGCATGAGACAGTGCAGCTCGTCCACAGCTGACCAGCAACTCTTCAAATCTTCTCTGGGACACCTTGACCTTCCCCTGCACACACTCCACTGTACAGTGTTGTATCACTGCATATTAAATGTTATTTTTTAATAAAGTTGTCTTTTGTTTTTTTATTGCCTCGTTTTCAGTTAGATTAAATCCTCCTTGTACGGAATAACTTTCCTTATATATTCATCACACATCACAGACAGATATTTTATCACCAATGGAACTAGATCAGGAACAACTACAACAACAACTACAATTTCAGAAAAAGTCTCTCTACTTTAGAAAAGCTGGTCCCATATATAATAAAGGACTTCTTGATCCTAATATGTTCTCATTTTAAAGAACAGGCTCATTTCTGAAAATGAAAATAATTTTCATTTTCAGAAAATGAAAATGGTTTTCATTTTCAGAACAACCCACATAACCAACACCATCCACCTCTAAAAGTATCGACATTTGAAGTGTAATTACGCACATGAAACACCTGGTGGAGTACTTTGCATAAAAAGCACCTAGAGACCGACACTACTTTGTTTGATGACATTTTGGAAAGTCTCCGATGCACAGTTGGAGACAAAATTATAATCCTTACGCAAATATAAGTCAAACGTCCCTCAAATGCTTTAATATAAAGAAGAGAATAAAGCAGAGAATATGCAGTGTAATAATATTTTTCAACAAAGTAACCCATGATTCACGAGCTGCAAGTGGCTTTTCACACCCTTCAAACATAGAAAAAAATAAAAAGTGATTTAATACTTAAAATTGAATTAAGGAAAAAGTAACTAAATAAAATTATAAATATAATATGCCCCCCCCCCATGTGTCTCATTAAATTTTAAAACTTTGCTGCATGTTGTCTTCCCTTCCTGCTCCTCAACATCTGTTTACCATAATACAGTATAAATAAATATAATAATATATAAAGTCCCTCTATCCCCTACACAAGCTAAATATCCTGTTCACTCAACCCCTCCTCACCTGATGCTTTCCGGCCTCTACCTCCCCATCCATCACTTTCTCCTCCACTCTATCTCTCTCCTGCAGTCTGGCCGTCTCTTGACCTTGCCATCATATTTCACAGCACTCACAGTGACGTTGGTAGATGTGTTCTCACTGAGACCCTAAGTCCCCTCCAATTCCGTGTCATATTTCTTCTGGGTCCAACCCTCAGGCAAACAGCAAGGAAATCTTTGTGTTTTTCCCTCAGCGGCTATGATGGCATATAAATGGCAAAATAAATCACACAGCAGGAGCTTTTTATGATGCTACGAGGAGTGACAAATCAACTGTGGGATTCTCCGCATGTTGGAATTTTTGAATTACCACTTACTTGAAGCTGGAGCATGCAAAATGATGAATGGAAAGAGATAGTTTAAAGACCATTAGATTTTGGACAGAGATGGTCACGCCACGAGCTACAGGCAGATGTATTGACCTATATGTGAAAGGAGACCTGAGAAAATACATGCAATGACCCGTTTGCCTTTTTAAAGTTACTCAACAGTGTAGGCAGTTTCCATTACCTCCATATAAATATTTACTTCAATGAAACTTTTTTTGCTGACATTAAATATTGTGGCTGAATGAAATACAATAATGGGTTCAGGCTCATTTAAATGAAAACTATCAAAAACCCAATAGAAAATATACTTAAACTTTTTTGCTCCATCTCTCTGGAGTTTGAAAATTAAAGTGAAATATTAGTCATTGTGACACAGCACACCACTGCACACAACGAAATGTGACTTCTGCTTTTAACCCATCGCCAAGGTGAACCGTGTGTGGGGACGGTGCCAGGCTCAGAGCACCTCAGTGGTAACTTGGCAGCTGGTGGACTCAAACCTGAAGCCTTCCAGACCCAGGTCCGCTTCCTTAACCACCATCCAGGAATTGCTTTGCAAAAAGGAGATAAATTATTGAAACTGTTTGTGTTTATATTCTCTGCAAGAATCAGCTTACCAGAAACAACTTTAATCACAACAAATACATCTTTGAACTCATGAGGATTTTCTTAAAAGAACAAGGTACGGTGAAAGTTCCAGTTCATTTATTCCCAGAACAGTACATGTTGATGAACCACAAAGGTACCAGAAAACACAAGTAGAAAAACAGCTGAAAGGGTGAACGAGTCACGGTTCACTGAGTTTAGTGGACTTCATTAGACATGAAGCTTCATAATGGCAGATCCTCACTAACAAAGCTGATGCTGTCACTACAGTGATGCGACAATGCTCAGCGCGTACACGCTCCGATGAATACGTCAGGATTAGAGGTGCCTCGCTCCGCTCCCTGAGGCTCCTCTGTTTATACTCTAATCATTTATTTAGATGACGAAATTACTCAAAGTATTACTCATAGTATCAGTATTAGACCAGCATCACACTGAACAAACTGGTGAAGCTAAAAGTAGTTAAAATGACGAAAATAATGAAGTTACAAAACTCTCCTTTTAAAGTCAGTGTTAAACAAAGTTTAATAGACAATTTAAATGGTCACTCGTTTACATCTAACATAGAATAGCTTAAAAACTATGAGAGACAGCTAATAGTTACCCAGTAGTGAACTCTAGTAGGGAGCCCTTTATATTCTGAGGACCCCTTATGATTTAAGCCAATTGCTCATTTTTGTACTCCTGACTATTAATAAATGGCAAACTAAGATATGGAATTTAGTTCAGTGCAGTACAGTGATAAAATCCAATCTGCTCAATTTAGGAGAAATGTCCCCCAGAAGATTCTCTTATTATTTTGAATAATTAATAACAATCAAATATCATTGCTTAATACCTTTCAGGCCTGCAGGGGGAGCTGGAGCTACTGGAGGGCAGCTCATCAGTCCATCCCAGGGCTGCTTTACCTCTAACTAATGCTCAGTTTAGAGTGTAGGTTTATAAATTCCATTACAGAAAGAATAATATTTACCACTAGGGATAGATCTATAGTAGACAGATATAATAAAAATATTGCCATTATCGGGCATGTCATTAAAACAACAAAAAAGGTTTTTATGGTTGTGTTCCAAAAACAGAATTAGTCCAAAAGTAGATGTGAGGATTGATTTACTGCACAATGCACAATACTCTGCCAAAAACCAGGGACTTAAGAAACACTTAGAGCTTACTAAGTATCAGGAGAGAACTTGAGGATGTCAATAGTACTTCACTGAGTGTGAGAGAGAATCTCTGAGCAGTCATTTCATCACACCTCTTCTCTTTATTTGGTTTGTTGCACATGCAGTGCAAGTGTTTGTGTTGTTGTGTCTGGTGAACACGGCTGATTCTACACAGAGTGAAACCCTGAACTACAGCATCGAATCCAACATGGAACATTCTACAGCGCCCCAGATATGACATCAAGGAAATCTAATCTGTGGTTACAAATTGGGCCAGCCGGTGAATCAGGACTAGAGGTCAGTCCTTTCATGACTGATTTTACTCTCTGCCCGATTTTGTTGCAGTCTGTATTTTGTATCCTGTTGTATAAGTGGATTAAGGGTTAAACCTCCCAATAGGGCCGGGGTTTACTGTTTTATCGAGCCCTTTTATTTTTACAAAACAAGGACATATTTTTGTCTTATTTATTGTTGTGGAAACTTTTTCAATTGGACCGGGGTGGGTGTTTTAAAGACGTTTCACACCTTCACCCAAGAGCTTTCTTC